TTTTTTGTACTACTATTATTTCATTCTCCAAGGTTCCAAAGCAATTGGAATTTATGCCCCCAACAAGTCCTAAACCATGGGCCTTTCAATTAATAATAATACTCTCCTTTGGTAGTTGCAACTAGAGGGTGCCAGTCAACGGGCTAACGCCCAGCCCGGCCCGCCGGTTCACTGACCGAGACGACCCTTAAAAAAATAAAAAAAAAATTAATAATGTGGCTCGACGTCCAACCGGGTCTGGACCAGACCAGCTGGACCAAAATAAAAAAAAATGAAACTGACTGGACAAGACTGTATATAAGATAAATATACTTATTTACTTATATTTTTTCACCAATTTAATTAATATAATATGTTCAAATTAATTCTGGATCCACGTCATAATTTTTTAGAAATAATTAGTTTTTACCCTTAAAGTTTTTGTTTATTTAATATTTTTTTAAAGTAAAAGAATATTCAATAATCCCAACATGAAATGACTTATGACTTAACTGGAAAAAAAAAGGATGACGTCGCCCTTAGAGGTGAAAGAACACACATAGATTCCATTGTTCTTGAAATAATTTAGACACAATAAATGGGCTACATTAAGCTATGGGCCATGTAATTAAAATATGGGCCTTCGATTGCTAACTATAACTAGGCAAGCCTTCATCCTTCCCCAAAACCATCAACCCAATTCCATTAAACTTAAGTTAGCCGTGGGCTTCGTAAACCGTCCCTCGGTTTAGGGACACGTTTACGGTTGAGTCCCAAATCTTGTTTTGCACGTGCCGACTTGTACGATTACCTAATAGCATCTCCAATGATATAGTTCATTAATCTTGTTTTGCATGTGCCGATTTAGGGACACGTTTACGGTTGAGTCTCAAATCTTGTTTTGCACGTGCCGACTTGTGCGGTTACCTAATAGCATCTCCAATGATATAGTTCATTTGAAAATGTATAATATGGATAAAGAGAACTACAAAATTTTGTCTCCAACATTGAATGTCAATTTTAATATAATATGACATGTGTTACATTATAATTGGTTGGTGATGTTATATATATTTAATAAATAATAAAAATATAGTAGAGGATGTAGAAGTACTTCCAGATATAGAAAGACTTCTAGACATTTTGAATGTCATGTAAGATCGTAATACAAAGTTAAAAGAATTGAAATGGTGAATCAAAGTATTATTGCAATGGTGAATGGTGACGCTTGCCGAGGAGTACACACGAGCGTTTTGAGGGGGATAAAAGACCTTTTGAGTCGACAGTGGCAGGTGGTTCTCAAGCATGGCTATAGATAATCAAACTTTCTTGTCGATTTTTTGGTCTCGCTCGCGGCCAAAGGGCTTGGCGGTTTTCACCGATTGGATAAGCCTCCTTCGAGAGCAAATATTTGGTTAGCTCATGATGTGATATGAGTGTCCTATTCGCGTTTTCGTCATAGTTAGGCCTTTGTCTCATTCTCTTGTACTTAAAAAAAAATAAATAAATAAATAAATAAAAAATAAAAAATGAATATAATTTCCCACATAAAATACACACACTTGAAAGAACACAACCACTTTTAAGAGAGAGAAAGAGAAAGACCAAGTTCGTCTTTCTATTTTCATTTTCCTATCAATTTTTCAACCAACAGAGACGAGGAAATGGATGGTGGGGCTCAGCCGGCGGACACCGTCATGTCGGAAGCTCACCCGCCGCACCCGCCGCCGCCGCAGCAGCAGCAACCCCCTATCGATCACATACCGGCGACGCTCAGCCACGGCGGCCGATTCATCCAATACAACATATTCGGCAACATATTCGAGGTCACCTCCAAATACAAACCCCCAATCATGCCGATTGGGAAAGGCGCGTACGGCATCGTTTGGTACCTACCTTCTCTTCACCTGAAGCTTTTGCCCCTTGTGATGATTGTTCTAGGTCTGATAATTTATTTATTTGTTTTTGGGTATTTATTTGAAAAAGTTCTGCTTTGAATTCGGAGACGAACGAGCATGTGGCGTTGAAGAAGATAGCGAATGCTTTTGATAATAAAATTGATGCTAAGAGGACTCTGCGTGAGATCAAGCTTCT